TTTTGTCAGCCCAGCCGGCATATTGCGTGTCAAATAACACCAATTGTTTTCAACACGTGTTCAATATCTTTTAAATTACACCGATAGTTCTAGACACATAGTAAAACAGTTTTTAGTCCGTGCTACATACTGTGCATAAAGTAGTAAATTTTTCAAAATCTAAAAAATAGTATTTGAAAAAATGGAGAGCTGCCAAACTTGGTCAGTTAGTTAAAGAGGAAGGTCATTTAGAATCAGTAGATAGTCAATATCTTTCATATTTTAGTTGCAGTTCTGATGATGAACCACCAAACACATCTAAAAAAATAATTGCTTCAGTAGCTCATATGAGTAATATTGAATATGATTCAACTTCTGTGAAAAATGTTGATCAGCAAGTGTATACAAAACATATATATGTTTGAGATGATCCTGATGTGAAAATTAACAATATTGCTCATGTGAATGTGAATCAGAAACGTTATTTTATGAAACATTTAAGTGATCCAATACTTTTTTCAGTTAAGTGATCCATTATTTTTTTCAGTTAATAATGAGCCAAATTAATATATCTATTCTCTATTTTACAAAATTTTACTATGAATAGACACACTTTTATAAATAAATTATAATTTAATTAGTTTAAATATTTGACCTTAAATAAAATAACACAAAAATGTATTTTTATTTGATATTATCCTATTTATATATAATGTTCAGTAAAATGTGTATGCTTATGAGCATGTTACTTGACATTTATGTAACAGTATTATTGTTATTATAGAAATAGCATACACGTAACATATTATAGAAACAACATATTTTTTTATAATATCATTTATAAAAATATAAAAGTTGTTTTAGTAACACTAATATATTTATGAATGTTGTTAAATCAATGACATTTATTTATTTTTATAATTATAAATATTTATAAAATTACAAATGTTGTTTATGACAAAAAAAAGTTATAGCTGTAAAATTAAATCTATAATATATGCTATAAAATTAGAAATTTTTAATTTAGATTTGATGAGGATCTAGTTCTAGAGCTAATATTTGAAATACCAAGTACAAGTAAAGACTAAAAAGCTATTTTAGTTTTTAAGACGTAAAAAGAAAACCCAAAATGTCTGTTTTGTTTGTAATTTTTTGTATTTTAATTTCTAATTTACTTCTTTTTATAACTTGTTTCTTCGCATAGTAATCTGGTTTTTTATTATCAATTAGTAGTGATAAAATGAAAGAGAAAGCAAAACTAAAAAAAACATACAGTAATAAACAAAAAAATGACAGCATTTAAAATTGAGAATACTTGAAGTATTCTCAATTTTACATCTTTTAATTATAAGGTTTTAGTTATAGATGTATTACATATTATATTATGCTTTTTTTTTTTTACTTCAGTCAGTTTTTTTATCTCCTCTTTTTAGTTTATCAATTTGTTTAATACCATAGCATCAAACACTGCCATTGGAATAGAATATATACTGTATTTAATATTATGGACAATAGTTAGGAAAATTTGCACAGTACTATTAGTAAGATTTCAATTTTGATAGTATTTATGATCAGAAACTTTTTTCTTTCATTAGTAAATATTTTTAACAAACATTTTAATAGATACACAAGAATATTTATAGTTCCAAACTAACTTTTTTCCAATTCATTTTTATATTCATTTTTATATTAATGAATGCGTATGCACCCATATAAATGTCATCATACTTTGGACCCAATATAAAATACTGAATAAATTTTATACATACTGTTAACAGTTGATATAAATTTCCTTGAGTGTAATGGTATAATATTCGATGTTCGACCCTCTTTAGGGATGGCCACTAAAAATTGTAGAATTTTCATGCAATATTATTTGGTCATGAAACTCTTAAATTTCTAATAATGTAAAATTGAACTTTTTACTATTTACTATATTTACTACTATTTCACTTTATTTATTTTACGAAAAATAATCACTATTTTTATCTGTTAGGAACATTTTTCAAGATAATTTAAAATATATATATATATATATATATATATATATATATAGTCTAATAAACTTGCATGTCTTGTGCTAAGCGCATATAAAAGTTTTTTTTAATTTATAAAATAATGTAGGCATGCAAAAATTGACAAGAATTACTTATTTTTATTTTTTCAATGACTTGGAAAGAGAATCTTTAATATTTTTGCTGATATCATAAAGTTCAAATAAAAGAAGAATAAACCGGTTGAGTGTAAAATGTATTCATCGTTTATGGTAGTAATTCTGAAATCTTAATAATTCAAAATATTCATTTTGATAAGTCAAATACAACATAATCTTTATGTGTTTTAGTAAAGATATGTTATTGGTATGTCGGCACAGTTATATACTTGTAACTGTTTACCTTCGTTTTAGTTCAAAACCAATCTAAAATATTAATAATTCTTCTTGTTACCAGTAGAATAGACACAATCTGTGAGAATGATATTGATTACAGTTAACTGTTCTTGGAGTCAGATTTCCTTTAACATATTTGTGTAAATATCTAATCTATATTTTATGAAATTAGTTCAACTATATAATAAGTTTACTAATACAAGTAAATTTATAAAATTTAAAAGAATGTTTTCACATTTCTTATATTTTTATAGTTATACACTATATAAAAAATATAGTATGTAAGAAATACTATATAAGAAATATAGTATACATTATACAAGAAATATAGTATAAACTATATTTCTTATTTTTTTACAGTTAATGCAAAAATAAAATGTCAAATAGAAGAGTGTGCAATTAAACAGTGAAAGTTTATTACTCTAAACTGATTTTATTTATTAGTCTGCAATGTTGAAAAACTCTTGGATAACTCTTAAAATACTCTAAAGTCCTCCTTTTTTAAAAACCTCCTCTAAAATCCCCTATTATCCTCTAAAAAGTTAAAAATATCATAAAAACTCCTCTTTAACTCCTCTTTTTTATTTTTATTTTTATTTCTTTCCTCAACTTGTAAAACGTTTTTAAGTTTTTTTCAGTTATATTTAAAAAATGCGATTAACATAAATTTGAAAAGTCGAGTAATAGAAAAAGTATTTTATTCAAATAAAATAGCCACATAATATCAATAATTTGCGAGAGCAATGAGGTTTAGATTTAATACAAACCGCTTTGCTCTTACAATTTTGACACAATTATTAAAATTATATAAAGTAAAGCAGTTTACTTTTGCTAGTTAACTCGCAAAAGTTAAGAATTTTAAATGGAATATAAAAAACGTTAATAAAATTAAAATAAATGATTGTTGTATATACTGCTTTTTGAGGCTAAGGAATATTGGATCGAACACGTGTTGCAAATAAAGTACAACATGTGTTGAAAACAAAACTAATTACGTGATTTTTTTGTGTCCACGTCATAAATATCTCAAGTTCCACGTGTTAAAAGCGCGAAGTCGGGTACCAGTCGATCGTACTCAACACGTTAGAAACAAGAGTTGCAAAAACACGTATTAGAAGTTACATATGCCGGCTGAAATTTTTATTTTTTTAGAAAAACAATTTTTTTTGATAATAATAATTTTAGATAAGCATTGGCAATTGATAGGACATTCAATCGTTTGTTTGTGCTTACAATTTTCATCATTTTATTCTTTAGAAAATTATTGTTATTACCGAATGCAACATTGTGGCTTTTTATAAATCTTTCTATATTTTTTGCACAGTTAAATCTTAATTTATTAGTATTATTTTTATAAATATATTGTGCAGTTCAAAATAGGAGAAAAATGTTAGTCTATTAATTTTAAAAACGTTTTCCAAAATTTTTTAAAACAATTTTATTTACAATAGGAACAACAAAAATATATTTCTATTTAACGTTAGTGCAGTTTTTGTTTAAAACTTTGTCTTAAAAATTTTATTGCTGCTTTTTTGAAGAACATCTTTGAATTAAAAAATTAAACATTATGTAGTTAGTTTAACTTTCTGGTATCAAAACTACAACTGTTATTATATATTTATTTATGACAACTATCAATTCCTGTTTTATAATTTCTCTAAAATTTGAATTTTTTATTATTTACACATTCGTCCTGATAAATCATCAAAAGGATATATATATATATATATATATGTATATATATATATATATATATATATATATATATATATATATATATATATATATATATATATATATATATATATATATATATATATATAAAATATATATATATATATATATATATATATATATATATATATATATATATATATATATAAATTTAAACAATTTTAAAAAATGTATTCTACAAAATAGGGTGCTCAATGTTCTTAAAAGAACAGAGCAATTATAAATTAGTAGAAAATCACTTAACAAAAATTTTTTTCATTTTTCACTTTGTTTCATCAACAAAGACTCATCAGAAATCTTTCTGATGAGTCTTTGTTGATAAAACACAGTTTAAAATGAAAAAAATTTCTGTTTTTTTTAACTGTTTTATTGTTTTATATAAATACAAATATATATATATATATATATATATATATATATATATATATATATATATATATATATAAGTGATTTTTAACTGTTTTATATAAATATAAATATATATATATATATATATATATATATATATATATATATATATATATATATATATATATATATATATATTCATATATATATATATATATATATATATATATATATATATATATATATATATATATATATATATATATATATATATATATATATGTATATATATATATATATGTATATATATATATATATATATATATATATATGTATATATATATATATATATATATATATATATATATATATATATATATATATATATATATATATATATATATTCTGTCGTAGCAACAGGTTATAAGATAAGGTTATAAGGCAAAAAAGAAGCACTCCTTTGTAGCAATATATTTATCGACTATGTCTCATAACATGTGTCTAAATCTATTTAATAGTGTCAAAACTTTGTTGTTAAATTGTTAGTTACCTGCTTGAACTTCTGATGCTCCAAATGACTAAAGAAAAAAATTATAAAAAAAAAGTGTTAGAGTTTTAAAAAAGCGCATGCAGTTTTTATATATTATAAAATTCTAAAAGAGTTTATATTGTCAAAAAACTCATAATTGACTTGTGTTTACATTATTTTTGATTATAATCTGTATATCTTTTCTATTGTAAACATAGTTGACACTGTTTTCTAAAAACATACTCAATGATTTCTTACTTGTAGAAGAATGAACAAACCTTTTTTTTGTTTGAATGCTTTCAAACACAAAAAGAACTAATGCTTTTAAAAAAGGCTAGATGCGTGCTATGTTATGCAGTATCATTATTCTAGATATGTTTCTATAGCTTTTTAAAAGTGAATAAATATTACTGCGTTAATTCTTAAAATATTTATTAATGTGAATTAGGCAATATTAGGCTTTGTGAACATATCTATTTATTTCATAAAAACCAGAAAAGTTTCAATTACTCTAAACTAAACATCTAGCCTCAACTAGCTTGCAAAAAATTTAAGTTATTTTAACAATTTTAGTTTTTTGAATAAAATTAAATTTTTAATCTTAACTATCATTTAAAGGAAGTACAATTAACATTTTATGTAAATTAAGAAAAAACTTAAAAATGTAAAAATCTTCCCTTCACTTATTTTACATTTTAAAAGCCAAAAGAAAAAACAATTAATCAAGTTACAGAGTGTTTTAAAAAATGATAAAAAAGATTGCACAGGTCTACAACATAGAAATTGTTTTAAATTTAATTAGTGATTTTTATTTTTCTTATTTTTAACGCTGAATTTGGGAGGAAATAATGAAAAAATTTAGTCACGTAAAGTTATTTCAAGAACTGTTTCTCTAGTTTTAGCTTTTTCGATTTTTTTATATATAGTTCTGTACTCTAGTAAGTTTGAATTTTAATTTTTAAGATCTCCAAAAACTGTTAGCTTAAAGTATAAGTTGTTTTATAAACAATGGCTACAATAGGATTTAAAAACTCACCAGATTGCTTCTGCTACATTTAAGGTAACTATACCATTAATAAGCGACACAGAAACATCTCTGATTTTGTCAAAAAGGTACATTTTGACTGTTTTGGTTTAAAATAAGGCTATCAAGATAAGTCTCATATTCCGCAGAAAGTTTGTTCTATATGTGTTGAAGAACTGGTAATGGTTTTAAGGTAAAAAACAGTTCTTATGTTATGGAAAACCAATGATTTGGAGGAAGCTCAAAAATCATAGTAATAACTGTTATTTTTGTTTATGCGACGTTCAAGGTTTCAATTAGAAAAACAAAAAAGCTATTTCTTACCTTAACATTCAATTAACCATTTGCCTTATTCCTCAAGGACCTGGAGTACCAATACCCTCTCCTCCAGATTCTTTGGATGATATTTTAGATGATCACGAGACATTGGCTCAGCAAAGTGATAGTATAGAAGGCAGTGATTGCTATGATCCTAGCACAACCAATCCCATTCCATTCTCACAATCTGAACTGAACGACCTAGATCTTCCTAAAATTCGGCAGAAGTTTCAGAATCTGGATTGAAAGATGGCTCCAGATACATCTTTTTCTTAATCAAGGGAAAAGGAGTATGTATCTTTCTTCTCTCAAGAAGGAGACATGGTATTTTGTGGTGATGTTCATAGACTTACGGCATTTTTTAATGAAGAATACGTTCCTTAAGCTAGGAGACTTTTTACCGATTCATCAAAATAAAGAACTAAAGCAGTATTTGTGCACAATGGTAATAAGAATGCTACTATGCCAGCTGGACACTCGGTTCACTTAAAAGAATGTTAGGAAATCTTGAGTTAATTTTAAACTCAGCTACTCAGACAATATGTGGACACTGCGAGGGAATTAAAAGGTTATTCACAATAGTGCTTGGTCATCAAAGTGGCTATACAAAGTTCCTTTACTTTCTTTGAGAATGGGACAGTCAAGACAGAAATAAGCCCTACATAAAAGAGATTTAGCCCTTGAGAAAAATATTAGAAGTAAGGGTTTAAAATGTTAAGAGAAAAAGACTTATGATTCCCAAAAAGTTGTTACTACCACCACTTCACATTAACTTAGGGTTGATAAAACAATTTGTTAAGGCATTTACAAAAGAAAGGCAAACTTTTAAATATCTTTGTGGGCAGTTCCCTGGTTTATCCGAGACAAAGCCAAAGAAGGAATCTTTACAAATATTAAAAAAACTTATGAAACATTAAAAAACTTATGAGAGATCCTAATTTTGTGGACAAAATGGAAACAAAAGAAAAGGCAGCATGGACATATACATATATAAATTAGTTGTTACCGGTTTCGTAAGAAAAATCAAGACCCAAACTAAAAGACCATTGTTACAGTCATGCTCAACAAATTCACGAAGCTGGGCTGTAACATGAGCATTAAAGTTTGTTTTTTCCATTTACATCCTGATTACTTCACTACAAACCTTGGTGATGTAATTGAATAGCAAGGCAAAAGATTCAACAAGATATCAAAGAAATGAAAAGAACATATCAGGGAAGACAGAACTTCACCATGATAGCGGACTACTGCTGGATAATGAAGAGAAAAGATCCTAAACGAGCCATAAACAGCCGGAAAAGCCAATAAAAATCTTTGACAGAAAGCAAAAACGTTATTATTAGGACTTATGAGCTGAAAGAGAAATGCAAGTGTTCTTGAAATATATTTTAAAAGATGCTTTATACTTAAGATAAAATTCTATAACATTTGAAAAGTGGGAAAAACTGGTCGAATTCTGTTATTTTACCCAAAAATGAGTCCTTTTTTGTAAGAAAACCTGACTTGATATAAAAAAACGGATTGCATTTTCGAAATCAGCGCGATAAATACATAAAAAAAAAGTACCTTTGTTTTAATCAATTGTAACCCTTTATTTGACAATTATTGCTGGTAGAGCAGGTAAAATTTTTCCAAAAAAAAAAATGCCTAATGGCTAATTTAAAATAATTTCAAGTTTGCTAAATTACCGACATATATAGCTTTATTAGTATCATAGTTTTGTGTTAATACAATTTGATTTGGCAAAGCTAATATAATTTCCTAAAGTAAAGCGATCATGCAAAAATACTCATAGCACGGAGTAGCTTTGTACATAGTGGTAAAAGTAAGTATACAGTAAAGTAAAAAAGCTACATTTAAATAGTAGTATTTTTATTATGATTAAAAATAAAACAGAATATATCTTATATATATTAATAACTAAAAGTATATTATCTTACAAACAAAATGTTAAAGCTTAAATTATATATTGTAATAGTCTTTTTTCTTTTTTACTCCATCAAAACTAAGCTTGACTCTATAATATTTTCCGTCATTACCGAAATTTTTATTCCGACGTCATACCCTTCAAGAATTTCAACGTCTGATCCTTCAAGCATTACTTTAAAGGGGCTGGAGTAAAAACTTTCTCTTAAATTTGTATCAGCCTCTCGTGCTCTTGATTCCCTATCTTTTTTGATCTTTTTTGCGAGTATTTGTAGATATCCTTGACTTTTTTTAGCTGTTTTCCTTTTTTTTTCTTTTATGGTGCAACCTTGTTTACTTTAAGGTAAAGTTTGATAAAATCGGGTGTTATTAATCCCAGAAATAATGTGGTTGAGTAGGAGTTTTTCCTTCAAGTATAATTTGTTGCATGTTGTAGTCTGTAACTGCTATAGAATTGGAATGGTAAACTTGCATGAAAGCAAGTCTCTTTCACTGCAGTTTGATGTGGTAAATGGCCTTATCCCAGTCTTTTAAAAGTATTTGAAATTGTTTTGCAATTAACAAGTTCTAGGTTATTCACTTGCCAATCATTAAACGCTGTTTTTAGCTCGATCTTAAAAGATTATGCATAATAACGAGCAGGGTTGCATTATAACGAGTAGGGTTGTTTTTAGAGCATGATATTTTTGTTTTAGTATGTTTGAGGAATTCCAAAAATAATTAGAAGTAATCCATCATTTTTTTGTAGCCATTCTAAAGCTGCATCCTGGACCACTTTTCATAAATTAATTCTTGAAATTTACTCTGAAAAAAAATGTATAACGGCGGTAATGTGTTACAGCAAGCTGATATGATCCTTCTAAATTCTACAAATTTACGAAGCTTCTGCCAATATGAGTTTTGTGTAAATTATTATGGTGTGCTTAGCACTGAAAAAACCTCATTGAAATTATAAATCATATCTGTAGAGAATGCATATTTTCTCAAAAGCTTAGAATCAGTAAGGCTGTTTAATGCAAAAAAAAAGTGCTATGCTGGTGTCTTCAGAATTCGTTAGGTTCACGTTTGTATTAATTTAAATTAAATTTATTTTAAAATATTATTTCAATTTGATTAAAACTAGTTAAATCAGTTTTAACGTGAAAACTAATTTAAATCAACGAATTTAACTTTTCAGACTGTACACGCATATAAATGTCATAAAAAGTTACAATTATTTCAATAAAAAAAAATTTACAAAAATTTATAATTGTTTCAATAAAAAAAAAAAGAATAATAACATTATTATAATCTTTACAAAAGACATAGGTCAGAATAAAACAAAACAAAATTTTAAAAATAACAAATTTTACTACCGCAATTATTACTATATCAGATCTTTATATGCTTTTTGCACATTTTAAGACTTCTTGCGGACATGGTCTAATGTTCCATAGCGAGGAGGCTCTATATAACGTAAAAAATGTATATGTAGCTTATTTATATGGAGCAATATTACATATAGAGCCTATAGGTGATAAAACTTTTAGGAGATAAAAGTTTATATGTAAAATTTTTTATAGTCAAAAGATTCTTCATATATTCTGGATTTAGAAAATTTATAAATTTACAAGTTTCATAAGAAATCTAAAAACTTTTAAGTATTATCCATTGACTTTTATCAAAGTTTGATAATTTATCCAAAGAGACAAATCAAATTATTTACAGACTACACTTAGAGCTTTTTTACGAATTTTATTTGTAAGTTTATCATCTTTTTCGGAAAAACCATCCAAAGTAGG